AAAAAAAAAAAAAAAAAAAAAAAAAAACACATCATAGTAAAATTAATACCTTCTCCGCTTCGCATCGAAGCTAAAAAATATAATTGACTAAAATAAATCAAAATTTTTTTTCCAATATTAGCTTCGATACGAAGCAGATAAGGTATTAATTTTACCATGATGAGTTTATTATTTTTTTTTTTTGTGTAAACTACTTTTTCTCAGCTCTCACTGGACCGATTTCTTTCAACAATACGTCAAAAGATCACAAACTATATCTAATTAAAGACATTACCTTTAAAAATTGAAAAATTTTCCCTCGTTACCCGCAAATGGAGGATTTTTCCAGAAAAATTAGAATTTTTAAAATTGATAAATGTTATCATTTTTTTCATTTTTTTTTATTTTAACTTTTAAAAATCAACAAATCAACATAATTTTTTTTATATTAAAACCTTAGATATTTCTCTTTCATTTGATATAATTTTTTTGAAAATCTAACACTTAACCTGCTCACAGGGGGGGATTTAAAATAGCAACTTTTTTACAAAAACTAACTTTTTCAACTTAATTTTTGAAAATGTTCTGGAAATATTCACAGTTTTATTTAATCTTAAATTAAAGCTTATATTATATACTTTACTATGAAAAAAAAAAAAATTCGAAATATAAATTTTCTTCTTGATGAAAATGGCTACCGTATTCAAAAATATGCTATTTTGTGTTAAAATTTTGGGTTTTGTATTTTATTTTATTTTAAAATATCTTACAAGAGGAATACATTGACTTTCAAGAATATTATATAATTTAATTGACATAGAATAAACTTTATAAGACATAGAAATTAAACTTATTAAAATTGTTTTACTTTTTTAAAGTTGAAAAAGTAATTTTTAAATTTGAATTAGCATAAATTGCTAATATCATCATGCGACGAAAGCAATGAATAGTTGCCGAAACGGTAACACTAGTGTCTTTCACGTTTAGGGTACGAGATTTAAATCCGCCTATGGCAATTAATATTTTGCATTTTTTTTTAGTTAGAAAAAATTTTCAAACCATTTGATTTTTATCTCATTTAGATTCAATAACTTCAATAAATACAAGGATCCCATGACTATAGTCTCCCCTTGTGAGAAGAAATTTTTTATTCATGTTAATATTATTTTACTATGTCGTTTTTTTTTTTGCCAACCCTCACTTGACTTACTTTTTTAAACGATACGTCAAATGATTACGTATTTAGTTGAAGATATTACCCTTAAAAATAACTTAAAATAGCAACTTTTTTACAAAAACTAACTTTTTCAACTTGAAAATGTTCCGGAAATACTGAGTCCTTCAAACATATATCAAATCAAAGCTTATTTCATGTACTATAAAATAAAAAAAAAAAATTGTCACCACGACCTATCTTCTATGCGCAAAATGCTACTGTATTCAAAAATATGCTATTTTAACAAATTTTTTTTTTTTAAATTAAACACTCTACAGATTTGCATCGTAGCGTTTTTTATGATAGTGATTTTAATCACTGTCAGATATCATCTATACTGGACCCAACTATGCCATGACCCCACTGTGCTGGGTTTTNTTAACATATTAAAAATCAAAATCAGTATTAATTTAATACAATTTTTTTTGTTCTTAATTATTTTTTTTTATATGTAAATACTTATTTTTTAATAATAAGTAATATTATTAAAACTTAGAAGTAATAGAAAAAGTTTAATTGCACATTTGAAAACATCGCGAAAAGTTGATTTACAAAAGTATATTTTTGTTTCTGATGAAAGTTCCTTATAGTCTAATGTATTTATTCATAAGTAACAAAATTTTTTTATTAAAAAGTATTGCATCAATCCCTTTAAATTTTTATACGCATTAAAAGTATATGAATATACAACTTCTTTTTATTTTTATAATATCTCCGTAAAAATTACAATATTATATTATTGAATATAAATTTCATACTAAATTTAATTACTATAATTATTATGTATTCATATATTATAATTATAAATCGGGATAAAATTAAGGGAATAAGAGTTATGATTGCTTTTGAAATAATCTATGAATCTCTTAAAATTAAATACTATCTACAAATTTGCATCGAAGCGTTTTTTATGATAGTGATTTTAATCACTGTCAGATTAAATCTATACTGGACCCAACTATCCCACGTCCCCACTGTGCGTGCCGCGTATCCTTCTGTGCTGGTTTTTTTATTTATTTTTCAAATAATCAAGTAGTTTATGATAAACCGATCAATCTGTATCGTGTAGTGGGTAGCGAAGTCCTTATATGGATCTATTATCAACCTATAGAGAAAACTTTACCCGAAATAAAATTTTGCTTGTGTTATTATCTTTATGTGAAATTCATTTAAATGTAATAATTGTTCAAATTATTTTTGATATCATCCTTACAGCTTCTAAAAGAGGCAATGATAAAAAAGAAATAGTTGAAACAAAAACCACAGAAATAAAAAAGGCCAGCAAAATTATAAATGCAGAAAAAGAAGAAGCTCATAAAATTTTGAATTTGGCTTTACCTGCACTTATGGACGCAAAAAATGCTTTGAGTCAACTCGATAAAGCTGACATTACTGAAATTAGATCGTTTGCCACTCCCCCAGAACCAGTACAAACAGTAACTGAATGTGTAGCAATATTATTAGGATACAATGATGTAAATTGGAAAGTTGCTAAAGGAATGATGTCTGATCCAAACTTTTTAGATACATTAAAAAAACTTGATGTAGATAGGCTTAATCAGAAGCAACAATCTCTAGTTCGAGCTAAATTAAAGGTGCTCAGAATTATTGTTTATAATAATTGTAATTTGTTTACTTAAATATAAATATATTAGGGTGGTCCTTATTTTTCGACTTCATAAATCCAGAGTCATGGGCTCAAAATTTCGTTACGTTNAAATTCAGAGTCATGGGCTCAAAATTTCGTTACGTTCACTGAAAAAATGAAACTGGTAAAATTTGAGTACAATAAGTCAACCCCTTCACGTTCCTCAAAAGGGTTGAAGTTCTTCATAAATATTATGTAGGAATACGCGCTTTTCTCCAAAATATTAAACACTCATCTATTACAATTATTATTTTATTGTGTTTCTTGTTTTTTTTTTTTATTTAATATAACTAAGAAAATTTGTTAATTTATGAACAAAAAAACATACATGCAAAAAAAATTTAAAAAAAAAAACACGTTTTCGTAGTTGTTTTAAATTTTTATTTGGAAAGGATTCATAATTCGAAAAAAACTCAAATAACGTTTTTTATAGAAGATATCATGGTGATTAATACTACTTCTGTACAATTTCTGCGTACAATTAAAATTTAAGACACTGGAAAAGTATAACTGAAAACTATGTCATTTTTTTAAAAAAATTAAGTGAAACTGATTTTTCTTATTTTTACTAAAAAATATTAATTTTACAAAAAAATAGTATATTGCCTTATTTTTTTTTCACATTGAGTTCTATAAAAATTGTTCTTTGTGTTTTTGGCGAAACTTCAAAAATAAAGAGCGTACACTCAAAAAAGATAATCCACCCCATTTTTGAAGAACTTCAACCCCTTTGAGGCACGTGAAGGGGTTGACTTATTGTACTCAAATTTTACCAGTTTCATTTTTTCAGTGAACGTAACGAAATTTTGAGCCCATGACTCTGAATTTCTTAAAAAAAATTTTTATTCTTTAACTAAGGACCACCCTAATATATATATATATATATTATAATACTGCATATAGGCTTCAAAAAAAATTTCACTGATGAAATCGATCAGTAAAGCTGGTTTTGGATTATTATTCTTTGTAGAGGCTGTATTACAATACTGTGTTGTATATAAAGAGGTTAAACCAAAAAAAGATAAAGTGGAAATGCTTGAAAAAGAATTTCAATTAGTATGTTCTTATTTTATGTTTTTGAGCCTATATTATTTTTATTAATTTCAAGGCAACTAATCAACTAAACAAACTCAACAAAGAACTTAATCAAATCTTGAATATTTTAAATGATCTTAATGAGAAATACCAAAAAGCAATGGAAGAACGTAAAATTCTTTTAGAAGAAACAAGCTTAATGGAAAGAAGATTGATTGCTGCTGACAAGTTGATTACTGGATTGAGTTCGGAAAATAAAAGATGGAGGATTGATTTGGCAAACTTAAAAATTGATTTGTTAAAGATATTTGGAAATTGTTTGATGAGTGCTTCATTTTTAGCATATACGGCTCCTTTTTCTTACGAATTTCGAATTGAAATGTTGTTTAATGATTGGTATGAAAAAATATTAGGTAGTGGAATTCCTATAAGTCAGCCATTTAAACTCGAGATTGAATTATCTGATGAAGTCACTATAGCTAAGTTAGTATGTTATAATATTGATGTAGATTAAAATTCTATTAATTAATAATTATAGAAACCATTTTTTTTTTAATTATTTTTTTTTATATTATATTATTATAGATATAAATTTAAAGAAATTAAGTTACTATCAGCAGAAATTTAGTAGACTAAAATAGATAAATTCTTTGATATTAAATAAAAATAACTTAGTGACAGATTATTATGCTCAATGAATAAGGACAGTAACTCGCTTTTTTGACTTTTCAAATAAAATAAAATTTATTCTTCCATTAAACTTTATTTACTAAATAAGTAAATGCTAAACTCAAAATCAATTTTTTTGTGTTTTTGTCTTAATTGTTTCTCATAGCGGAATTACTTTTGTTAAAACTCTAATATTATGTTATTAAAACTCATTTATTTATAAATTTATTGATAGGTTACTAGATATATTATATTTTGCTGAAGTTATTCTGAATTCAAAAAGGTGTGGGATTAAAACTTTTTAAGGTCATCAAAAATGTTACTAAATTAGTCACATACTGTGTATATTAGCTTATAATACTTAGATATTGGAATATAAATTATCGTTGAAATAATATATTATTGGAAAAGTTTTTCAATATATATATAATACATTAGTGTTGTTTTTAGATGGAATTCTGAAGGTTTGCCTCCTGACGATCTTTCAATACAAAATGGTATACTAACTGAAAGATCTAGTAGATATACACTTTGCATTGATCCACAACAACAAGTAAATTATTTATTAACTTGTGTACCACGTGAAATTGCGAGATGAAAATGAAAAGTCATATGTTATTATTTCATGAATAATTACATAATAACTTTTCATTTTCAGCTCATAAAATTTAAAGTAACAACTAATCAATTAATTAAGGCACTAAATTGGATTAAAAAAAAAGAAGAAGTCAATAATTTGAAAACACTTTCATTTAGTGATTCAGATTATTTAAAATTTCTCGAAAGTGCAATAATTTACGGATCTTCTGTACTTTTTCAAGATGTAGACTACATTGATCCAATAATAGAAAACGTTCTTGAAAAAAATATTAAGTGTATGCTAATTAATTTAATTATAATATTGTAATTATGAGAATAATTTACCAAACATTTTTATTTTAGCTGTTGGTGGACGTAAGTTTGTTGTTTTAGGAGATAAGGAAGTTGATTTTGATCCAAAGTTTTGTCTCTATTTAACTACAAAATTAGCAAATCCATCGTTTAATCCTTCTGTGTACACAAAATCAACTGTTATCAACTGTTCTGTCACACAAAACGTAGGTTTGGTATCAATGGAAATAATATTATTTTATGTACGCTAGTATATTAATTATAGGGACTTGAAGATCAACTTCTATGCGTTGTTGTTAAAAATGAGAGACCAGATTTGGAAGAGCAAAGAGAATATTTAATTACTGAAACGAGTGCCAACAAGAAACTATTAAAAACATTAGAAGACTCCCTTCTTCGTGAATTAGCGACCTCTTTGGATAATATGTTGGACAATGTAGATCTGATTGACACACTCGAAGAAACTAAATCAAAAGCCATTGAGGTTACGCAAAAGTTAGAATTAGCAGAAAAAACTTCCGCTGAACTTGATGTCCTTCGCAATCAATACCGGTTAGCAGCTATTAGAGGGGCAATATTGTTTTTTGTCTTGGCAGATATGAGTTCTGTTAACGCAATGTATCAATACTCTCTTATTGCATATTTAAAAGTTTTTACAACTTCACTAAAAAAATCCATGCCTGATATGATCTTGAAAAAACGGTTAAAAAACATAATCAATACACTTACAGAATATTATTATGAGTATGGTTGCACAGGCGAGTGAATTAATTGTAACTTTTTTGTATATAATATGTGACTGTTAAAGTTCATTTTATAAAAAACTTAAAAACAAAAAGAATTATTATCAAAAATTATAATTTTTATTAATATAGTTTTTATTTTTTAGGTATTTTTGAAAGACATAAACTCCTCTTTTCCTTTCAAATAACATTAAAACTTGAAATGAGTACTGGAAACATAACAACACCAGAGCTTGACTTTTTTATTAAAGGAAATGTTGCTTTGGAAAAATCTGAACTAGCGAATCCTGCTAAATGGCTTTCAGCACAAGGCTGGGAAGATATAGTTAAATTATCTAAAGAATTCTCAGATATATTTCCTGATTTAGATTCTCATGTTAAAAACAATACAATTGACTGGAAAGCTTGGTGTGATCATGATACTCCTGAATCTGTTGACCCACCAGGAAGATTTTCAATTTTCTCCAATCCGTTTCATAAACTTATGTTATTGAGATGTTTTCGAGTAGATCGCGTATATCAAGCAATTAGCAATTACGTGACTTTAGTTATGGGTGTAAAATTTATTACACCACCATTTATTAGCTATGATGCAATATATGAGCAATCATCACCTACTACACCAGTTATATTTATTTTAAGTCCTGGATCAGACCCTACAGCTGATTTAATGAAATTGGGTGATAGATGTGGAATTCCAGCAAATATGTTTAAGTTTTTATCATTAGGACAGGGTCAGGAGCCTGTAAGTTTCTATTTTACTTATATATTACATGAGTTGACAAACCATCAATATAAATTAATTCGTTTTTCAAATTTTATTTTTTGAATCAAATTTTTTAAAATTTGATTTTATTACGTTGGTGTAAAAAAATATTTTAATTAATTTTAACTCATTTTAATTATATAATTATAAAGATGGCATTTTCACTGATTCATTCATCAATTGAACTTGGATGTTGGCTTATGCTACAAAATTGTCATTTACTTATTTCATTTTTGTATGATCTTGAAAAATTTTTGGATAGAGTATCAAAAGTTCATCCAGATTTCCGTCTATGGCTTGCTACTGATGCTACTCCTTTATTCCCTGTTGCTGTTTTACAAAGATCTCTTAAAGGTATATATATTATATACTCATAATTCTTATATTATTAAATGTAAATATAAATAAATTTCGCAGTGGTGACTGAGCCACCTAATGGATTAAAATTGAATATCAGAAATACTTATTTTAAATTAAGGCAAGAAAAATTAGAGGAATGTTCACATCCAGCGTATACCACTCTTATATATGTACTTGCGTTTTTCCACGCAGTTGTTCAAGTAAATATATTATAATTATATTTTAATTATTTCATGATTTAAATAAAATATCTAACACCAGAGTGGTCCGTTTGAAAAATTGAAAAATTTCTCTTGTTCCAATAAATAAAAAAATTACGATTTTTGTCATTAGTAAATTTTTTTTTTTCCTAAAACTATACAACATTTAATTTTTTTATAATTTTTTGAAATATATATTTTGTAATACCTTACCCTGATTATTAACACTTAAATTTTTTTTTGTATTTATAATTTAATAATTATGATTTATTTCAATTAATGATGATATTCTTAGGAGAGATTATAGAGACAAAATACCAGAGTATACAGAGTGATTTTTTTTATCATAACCCACTCAATTTGTTTTCTTTTAAAAGGAAGTATGGATGATAGAAAGTATAACAGAGAATTGGAATATATCAATTATATGTCCGATTTATAAAAAAGGAAATGCAATGTACTGTGATAATTATAGGGGGATATCTTTGCTATGTACAACTTATAAAATTCTCTCTGACATTATTCTTAACCACTTGCGACCATATGCAGTAGTTATTATAGAAGAATACCAAAGTAGCTTCTTAATAGGAAGATCGACAATTGATCATATTTTCACGATCAAGCAACTGATAGAGAAATATTATGAATTTAATAAGAAATTGCATTTACTATTTGTGGATTTTTTGACAAGCATATGACTCGGTTGAAAAAGAAGTGTTATGGAAACATCTAGAACTATTTGGTATACCTGTCAAATTAAGAGAAATAATCCGAATGTGTATAGAAACAGCAAGATGCAAAGTAAGATTTGGACAAACACTTTTTGAAGAGTTTAAAACTACAGTTGGACTAAAACAGGGAGATGCACTCTCTCCTATACTCTTTAACATCGCACTGGAGGTGGTAGATCGAAGCATACATATTAAATATAAAGGAATTGATATCAGAAAATCTATATCAATCTTAGCGTATACTGATGATATCGTAGTACTTAAAGAAACCGAAGACGATATAAAACAAGCAACAGAGGTATTAATACAAAGTGTCAAAATAATAGGATTTTAAATAAATGATAACAAAACCAAGTATATGTGTATAACAAGAGAACAACCACAAATAAATCAGACAAGGAATATACAAATCAAAGAGTATACATCTGAAAAAGTATATAGTGTTAAATATCTCGGTACAGAACTGAACAGCCAAAACAATATTCACGAAGTGATTTAGAAACGTGTTCTAGTAGGTAACAGATGTATACATACACTATCTAAGTGCCTGCGCTCAAAGCTACTATCAAAGAAATCGAAAATGAGACTATACAAATAATAGCAAGACCTATCATAACGTATGCATGTGAGACATGGCCAACAACGTTAGAAAATGAGAAAAAATTGAGTATAGTAGAAAGAAAGTTTCTAAAAAAGATATGTACACCTAAAATAAATAATTTTACATAAAAATATGAAATAAGGTCAAACGAAGAAGTATATAATGCTTTTGGATAACTAAATATAAGTGGGGTAATTAGAGCCAAAAGACTAAGGTGGCTAGATCACATAATAAAGTCTAACATGATTGGAAAGGAGGCCTTAAGTTGGAAACCACAAGGAAAGAGGCCCTTGGACAGACCTAAACAACGATGGTTTGATAAAATCTCAAAGAATCAAATAACGCTAAGAGTTGAAATCTACAGAGAGATAGCAAAGAATAGAGAGAGATAGAAGGAAGAGTGTGTTGCAGCAATGGGCCTTAACGGTTTTTAAAGCTGAAAAAAAAAACCCACTCAATTACTTATAGAGTACAAATAATTTATAGATATTTTTTTGTTATATTTAATTACACATTATTATTGAATCATTTACTATGTAATACCTTTTAAGTTTATTCTTATGTCTTGTAAGGGTTTCAACGTTGTTTTTTTCAAATGAGAACACATATTTTGAATTTAATAAAATGTCTGAGTTTTTAATTCAATAGCAATTGAATTTTTTATATAGTTTTATTCGTTTATTAGATAAAAATTTTAAAGTTTCAACTTTTTGAATTAATATATATGTATAATACATGACTGATTATAAAAACAGGTAGTCATTCGTGTTTTATAATGTACATAATCGCAGATACGCAGCATTTATTATTAATGGTAGTGAGGCACATTTTTGTGATTTATAAATACAACAACTAGCAATACAAAAAACATATATCTGTTGATAGTCATAATTAATAAAAAACACTCCGTGACTGTGATATAGTGTTAATAGGAGAAAATAGGGAGGAAATTAATCAAAGACTAGAGGTGTGGAGAATAGCTCTTGAAGAAAATGATTTAAAAATAAGTAAAAGTAAAGCAGATTATATAGAGTATAGGTTTGACTAAGGAGAACACGAGGTAGATGAAATGAGATCAGTAACAATAAGTGAGGGCGTGATAGGGGAGGTGAAAAGTCTTATGTATTTAGGATTAGTTGTGTATATGAAAAGTGGTATTGACGAAGATGTAAAACAAAGAAATAAGTACGGATATCACTTCGCGCTGTACTAATCAATATAAAGTAATATAAATGTTACGATTTTTATTCTTATAAAAGTCATGCATTTTGATTTTGATTTTTTTCGGTTTTGAGCAACACTTTGTTTTTTATTCTTTACCATATTTAGAAGAAAGTTAGATTTACACTGTGGTACATTCTTTTTCTACAGAAATTTTATTTTTATTTTTTAACATAAACTATTTGTGTCGTATATATCTTTAATGTTATCTTGTCGTTTAAGGTCTACAAAAAAAGGTAACTTTATTTTTGTTTTTTTGTAAAGATTAAATTTTTCCCTTATTTGTATGTTAGTTAAATTACTTTCATTTTTGCATAGATTCTTTACATTTTGCATAATTCAGTATATACGTATATATACATTACTTAGATGCTACTTAATTTTATGAATTTTCAACCGTCCAATGCTCGCTTGAAACTCCATTACCACTTTTTTGTTACTGATTCATTTCACTTTGTAGTTGAGCCAAACTATTTTAATCGATTACAATTTGATTAGGCTGAATATTTATATTTTCAAACAATTCCATTGATGATGAAAAATGGCTGCACGAGCTGTCATATGTAACTTTACATAGATGACTATGTTGATACATTTAAAACTTTTCAGTAGAATGTGAAATAAATATTCGTTACATAATAACAAACATTATATTTCATTTTGTTTAACAAATATAGTTAAACAATACGCGCAAATTCAACTCTTAACAGTTCAGCTAACGTGTTGCTGCTGGTTCAACAATTTAATCAAAACTTGCTTATAAAAATAAGTTAAATTTTAAACTATACATTTTTATGAAATCATCGTTATTAATGAAATACATAAGGGGAAGTATATTTAATAAATCACACTGAATACATTTATATTTAAATGTTGTTGAAATAATTAGGAGAGGAGAAAATATGATAAAATTGGATGGAATATATCATATGATTTCAGTGAACCAGATTTCACAGTATGCGTTCAAATATTAAATGACTATTTGAATAAAACTCAAAATGAATATCAATGCCATGTTCAATTGCCATGGGTAACATTAAGGTATCTTATTGGAGAAGTAATGTATGGTGGCAGAGTAATAGATAACTTTGACCGAAGAATAGTCAATACATTTATGGAAGAATATTTTGGAGATTTTTTGTTTGATGAATTTCAACCTTTTCATTTTTACAAAGATGAAAATGTTGATTATTCATTACCTATTTCGGGATCAAAAGAAGATTATTTAAGTGAGTATATTTTCTTTATTAAATTCGTTATAAAATTACAATATGATATTTACAAACTTATTCATTACTGTTAGTTTTGTTCATTTCTTTTTCTTTTATAAGAGCTCTTTCTCATTTTTTCATAAGTATATAATGGAAATTTTAGATGCTATTGATGAACTTCCATTGACTAATGTACCTGGGGTATTTGGGTTACATCCAAACGCAGAAATGGGTTACTTTACAAGAGCTTCTAGAGATATTTGGAGTAATTTACTAGAACTCCAGCCACAAACTGGTATGTATACCCTATAACATTTTTTATTAACCGAAATATTTTATTATAATTTTCTGTAGGTTCTTCTGGTGTCAGAATAAGTCGTGAAGAATTAATAGATTCAGTCGCTAAAGATATTCAAAAAAATGTACCTCCTTTGTTTATTATTAGTAAAGTCAAAAAAATATTTGAAAAAAAAATTATTCCCAGTATTATAGTATTATTACAAGAGTTAGAAAGGTTTAATTTCCTTATCGATAAGATGCATGTTACGCTATCAATGCTTCGGAAGGTTTATTTAAGAAATATAAGTTATTAATTTAAAAGTAAATATATTGATGATTTTTTAGGCTTTATTGGGAGAAATTGGTATGGATAATGAACTCGAAAGCATATCAAATGCTTTGTATAATGGCCAAATTCCTCCAGGATGGTTAAAATTAGCTCCACAGACTTGTAAAAATCTTGGAGGATGGATAGATCACTTTATACGGCGAACTCAGCAGTATGAAAATTGGGTTGGTCTAAAATTATAAATAATTTACATATTTGTTATTATGTATTATACAATAATATTATAACATGCTGTAATATTATTACAGTGCATTGCGGGGGATCCTGTCGTTATATGGTTATCAGGTCTCCATATACCAGAGTCCTATTTGACAGCTATAGTTCAAATAGCTTGCAGAAAGAAAGGGTGGGCATTGGATCAATCTACTTTATATACAGCAGTAACTGAATATACAAAAGAAGACGATATCATTAATATACCTGAAACGGTAAGGAACTGTAAATTGGTACATGTCATTCTGTGAATTAGTCTAGATGGATGCATAAAGAAAGTCCTATTGTCTTTATTTTTCTCAGCTGTTAATAACTGAGATCTTTTTCACTTATTTCATTAAATTTTCCTATTAATTTCTTATCATTTTAGTCAATAATATTATAAGTAGAACCCAGCACAGAGGATTCGTAGCATAATGGTGACGTCTCATAGTTAAGATAAGTAGTATAGATGATAACTAATATTGAATAAAAACAACATCTTAAAAACCACTTTGATGCAAATTTGTAAATAGTGTTTAATTTTAACAAGGATATGTTCGTAAATCTTGATTATTCTAGGTTAACTCATACACGTGGCACAAAGGGCTTCCTCCTAAGTTTCTCATAAATGGCTACTGTAGTAAAAAACATGCTATTTTTGTGTTCATTTTTTTTTTTTAGGGTTTACCCTTATTTAATAAGGCCATCGATTTTTATAAAAGTTACATTAATCTAACTTGCATGGAATTATAAATTAAAACTTGATTTACCTCCTCCAATTATATTATACAAAGAGTGAACCATTTATACTATTTAGGGCAAACGATCACGAACGATGCAAGATGCAAAACGGAAAATTAGGAAAAGAATTGGAATGGCAAAGATTGCATTTTTCGAAAAAAACATATCCTTCTATTAAATAAGAAAACATTACACTCAGAAAAAGGAAAATGAAGACATACTTATGGCCTATAGCATCATACTCAGCAGAGACATAGACATACTACAAAAATGAAGAAGAATTGATAAAAGCATTTGAGATGTGCTTCTATCAACGTATGTAAAAGATTAACTGCGTAGATAGAAAATCAAATGATAAAATACTACAACAAGTAAATGAACAAACGACCACGATAGATAACATAAAAACGAGAAAATTAGAATAGCTAGGACATACTCTGTGATATAATAGTCCTATACCAGTAATACTTGAAGGAATAATATCAAGGAAAAAGGAAGACGCAAAATAAGAGTAAATGTCATATTACAGATATGTGGAAACTGCGCCTAAAATATGTTGATATTAAAAGGAAAATAGAAGTCAAGAAGGAATGGAGGAGAATTGTAGGAAGGCAACATTAGTCGGAAGATACCATTAATAACAGTGTGTTGTTTTATAGTTAAATGTTATGTAGAGTTTTGATTTAGGTTCCCAGATGCCAATAGTGTTTAATTTTAAGAAATAAATGGATTATTCTAATAACATAGATTACGCAAAACTTATGCAAGTTAGATTCGTGTAACTTTTATAAAAATCTTTGGCCTTATTATTAGGGCTAACCCATATTTAAAAAAAACCCAGCACAGGGGGGTCGTGGCACAGTGGTGACGTGGCATAGTTGGATCAAGTATAATGATATCTGACAGTGATTAAAATCACTATCACAAAAAACGCTTCGATGCAAATCTTTAGATAGTGTTTAATTTTAAAAAATTAGTGGATTATTCCAAAAGCTTCATAAACTGCTAGTTCCTTATTAATATCCTGATTAAGATAAAGTATGTCGAATAAAAAAGGGATATAAATATTATTTCTCATAAAAAAATTATGTTGATCCATACACTTTTCAATAAGTTATAGCATTATAAAGTTAAAAATGTAAAAAATAAAATCGAGAATTTTCACACAATAATAGCATTCGGTAGCTATTTTCACCGTGAAGACAAAGTAAAGTCCGAATTTTTTTTTTTCAAATTAAAGTATATTACATTAGCTTTAATTTAAGATATATATAAAAGTGTCAGACCTTCCGGAACACTTTCAAAAGTTAAGTTGAAAAAGTTCTACTTTCTATATGCATTTTTTATATTTGAAGCCCCCCCATATATAGGGAAATAGTCTGATTTAAAAAAAAAGTATATCCAATGAAAGATGTATATAAATACTACTTCTCATGAAAAAATTGTATTGATCCATACATTTTTTAAAAAGTTATAGCACTTTAAAGTAAAAAATGTAAATTATAAAATCGAAAATTTTCACACAAAAATAGCATTCGGTAGCCATTTTCACCATGAAGACAAGTCCAGAGGTCAAATTTTTTTTTTTCAAATTAAAGTACATTACATTAGCTTTAATTTAAGATATATATAAAAGTGTCAGACCTTCCGGAACACTTTCAAAAGTTAAGTTGAAAAAGTTCTACTTTCTATATGCATTTTTTATATTTGAAGCCCCCCCATATATAGGGAAATAGTCTGATTTAAAAAAAAAGTATATCCAATGAAAGATGTATATAAATACTACTTCTCATGAAAAAATTGTATTGATCCCTACATTTCTTAAAAAGTTATAGCACTTTAAAGTAAAAAATGTCAATTATAAAATCGAAAATTTTCACACAAAAATAGCATTCGGTAGCCGTTTTCACCATGAAGACAAGTCCAGAGGTCAAATTTTTTTTTAAAATTAAATTGCATTACATTAGCTTTAATTTAAGATATATATAAAAGTGTCAGACCTTCCGGAACATTTTTAAAAGTTAAGTTGAAAAAGTTAATTTTTTGTGAAAAAGTTGTCATTTTAAATCCCCCTCTGTGAGCAGAAAAAAGGTGAAATTTACAAAAAAAATATACCAAATGATAGATAAAGACATCAAGCATTTATAAAAAAAAATAGTTATATTGATATGTTCATTTTTAAAAAAGTTACGTCAGTTTTTAGTAAAAAAAATTTCGAAAATTTGCGATTTTTAAATTTGAATTTTTTTGGAGGATTAAAAATATATAAATAATTGTTTTACAAAAATCGTATTTTTTTTATTAATGTTGATAAATATTATATAAGATTTAATTAAAAATATATATAGAAGTGTCAGTATTTCTGGTACACTTTCAAGTTAAGTTGAAATAGTTAATTTTTTTTTAAGAAGTTGTTATTTTGAATCCTGTTTGTGGACACGTTAAGGGGAAAATTAAAAAAATATATATACAAAATGATAGGTGAATACTTCTGTATCTGTAAAAAAAAATTATAATGATTTGGTGATTTTTAAAAATGTTATGGAAGTTTTAAATAAAAAAAATTGAAAAGATGTCAAAAATTAGCGATTTTTCAATTTGTAATTGTTTTGGAAATTTCCCCCATTTACGGGGAACGAGGGCAATTTTTTCAATTTTTGAGGGTAATTTTTTCGACTAGATACTATTTGTGATCTTTTGACGTATCGTTGAAAGAAATCCGTTCGGTGAGAGTGAGAAAAAGTGGTAACAAACACAAAAAAAAAAAAAATACATCATAGTAAAATTAATACCTTCTCAGCTTCGCATCGAAGCTAATAAATTATTATTTTGAATTATATGAAATAATATTATATAAAAATTCTGAGTAGATTTATTTTTTAGAAATACAGGATAATTCATTAAGGATAAGACACTCATTTTCTTGGTAACTATTGAAAATTTAAAATTTTGATAAGGAAAATACTGTTTAATTCAAAAAACATAATTTTGTTATCCCTTCAACGTTAAAAAACATTAACTTGAATTTTCTTAAATGGAAACCCTTATTTTGAATTTGTTATTATGATTTAAAATATAAATACTAATAACTTTGCTCTTATAAATTTTTTTTCCGATCAACTGTTCGTCTGTTATAGCTTGTTAATGTTAAATGATTTTGGATTAAATTTCTCCTATTATTTTACTGTTTTGAATACAGGAGTCACTCATTTTCTGTAGTATAACATAAACTAATTTAACTTAATTGAATTTATGAGGTTATTGTCTCCAGGGATAATTAACTAAAATAAATACAGAAAAACATTGAGTTATAATACCGTATATGTTAGCGTTCTGCTCGCAATTCAATGGTGGTGTCACCATATATTTTATAATTATACTTTTGGTTTTTACTTTCGGTTTATTGTCTTATCAATTTCCATATTATTTTTATTACTATTTATTAGTACTCCGATATATCTTCGTAGGTTATTGTTCGCATAAAATATATTACTGCGTTATTATATTTACATGTTTACAAAATATTTATGCAAAAAATGTCTTGTGAAGGTGATCACAAAGTATGTACTTAGATGAATTTGACGAAATTTTAGAATTGGAGGATTGTAATGAATTTTACTCTAATTCTAATTTGATATCAGACAATGTATCTGACTTTTTTTTTCTAGACCTTTGAGACCATCTTGCCATAAAACAAATCTTACCTCTTTACTCCTTATTTTCCGCTGCCTCCTTCTATTCCATGTCTCCATACACCACTCATCTAGCATTAAAAAATCCTTTTTGACTCCATCTTCCAAGCGATGCCTTGGTCTCCCCAGTGGTCTTTTGCTTCTTGGGTTTTCTTGGAATACTCTTTGAACCATTGAATTTTGCTTTCTAAATACGTGACCGACCATTCCAACCTACTCCGTTTGATCTCGTACACAATATTTGGTCTATTAAATATCACCATCAGTTCTTGGTTATGCCTTATCCTCTATCCTTGAATATTTTGACCATATATAGATCCGTATATTTTGCGCAGTACCTTCCTCTCAAATATATGTAATCTATCCTCCTCCATCCTTCGCAACGTCCAACATTGCGAACCATACATGATTATTGGTCGTATGATTGTAAGAAATAACTGGGTTTTAGCCTCTTTTGAAAGGATTTTAGAGCTCCATGGTTTGTCTAGTGCATAGAAGTATTTATTTCCCATTTTGATTTTTTGTTGAATTTCTATTTGATATTCATTCTTCTGAGTACAAGAGTACACAAGTATTTGGATTCTTCCACTTTTTTGAATTCATACTGACCCACTGTTATGGTTTCTTTTGCAGAAACATTACCTAGTAGTTCCCTACTAACTTTCATGTACTGCGTTTTCTTCGTGTGGAGATTTAGCCCCACCTTTTTTGCCGATTCTATTAACCTTTCACATAAACCTACCACTTCCTGTTCCTCTTCCCCTATCAAGACTATATCGTCAGCATAGATGAGCAGACTAAAGTAAGTTTTAACCATTATTACTCCTTCATCTTTTCTTATATTCATTTCTTGGATCACCTTCTCTAGTATTAAATTAAAAAGAATTAGTAACAAGGCAATATCCTGTCTAAGTATGGTTCTTACCTCCACCATCCTTGATGTTGGGTTTCCTAAATTTTCATAAATATTATATCAATCTAATTGACATAAAATAAAAAGTTAAACATATTTAAACTTTTTTGCTTCTTTGAAGTTGAGAAAAATAACTTTAAAATTTGAACTAGGTAAATTACCATTTTTATCAAGTGACGAATGCGACGTACGGTTTCTGAAACGGTAACACTTGTGTCTTTCAAGCCTGTGGCACTGCATTTTTTTGAACTTTTTCTTAATTCTTTTTGAGTTAGAAAAAAATGTTTAACTAAATGTAAAAATGTTTGAACATACTTTCTCTTTTCACATCGAATAATTTTTTGAGCTTGTATCTGATTTGCATAATAATAATTGTGAAAATGATGATGATTTTGGTGATACCGATAATTATACTAGCTTTACTTTTTATCATGGGATTAACCTGGGAAAAGATGAAAAAACAAAATTATAAAAAAATGCCTTATCAATAAAATCAAACAACGTACTCATAACATTATTACTCAGCGCACAGTTGTCGTAAACGTAGTCTCTAAAAACGCTAAAAGTATTTAAGATTAATGGAAATTATTTTTCCCGGACTCTAGTTATTGAAACGGTAATACATACAAATTAATATTTACCTAAAATATGAGCGACATAACAAAGATAAATTATTATACCAAATACTGATAAAGAAGAACTTGATATGCTTCTTGGACTACTAAACTTGGCAGGATATCTACACTGTAGGCATGTAAATCTATAGGATTTATGGTGTGATAAAGGGTTTTGACCAGAATATTTCTGATTAACCATGTCTGAACAACGATTGTACATTAAAATGCGTGCAATCTGATTTGTAGACATTGAAACAAGAAATTATGGAAAGACTACAGACAAATTAGCACCAATATGTTCTGTTTTTGATGGATTGTAAAACTTTTTCTTGAATGTAATATGGTCGATGAAAATTGAACCATTAGTAAAATGTTGGAAGGTCTAGAGATCAGTACATTTTTTGGAAAACTAAACCAATCAAACTGAAAAAGTATGAAATAAAAATAAAGTATTAGTCGATTCTTAAAATATTTTACACGAAAAATATGGAAGTATAAGTTAGCGGCACACAACCAAATGTTATCATAGTCCCTCCAGCATTATAATAATGTTAATTTTTCCAAAATCAGAAACGGTAGGGAGCAAAACTATGGACAATTGGTATACTTCAATACTTATTAGACTTATTAGAAAATCCTAATTTCACTACTGTGGAAACAGTCAGGAAAAAGAAGTTTGAGATTACAAAATTTTTTCTAGATACAAAGGAAATACAGGTAAATTTAAATATATTGGACTATGGGAAAAATATTATGTTTTTACTCTACGCTCCAAGTAAAAACATAAATTTTATGCTAATATTCTACAATGCACGAAAAAGGTTTGATCGATGAAACCTCAAATAACATAAAACCCGAAGTTATTTTATATTATAATTTAACAAAATCGAGTGTTGTTGTTGTGAATGAAAATATAGTAAAATACTCTGTTGTAAAAGTAAAATGTAGGTGTTTTCTTTTCACTTATGAACATCTTAGATATTTCGTTTGCTTTTGGTATATTTTTTAGCTTCGATGCGTAGCCAAGAACGTATTAATTTTACTATCACGTGTTTTTTTTTTAACATCGATGCGAAGGTGAAAAGATATTAATTTTATTATGGTGTGTTTTTTGTTAATATTTTTTTTGTGTCTGTTACCACTATTTCTCAGCTCTCACTGAACCGATTTCTTTCAACGATACGTCAAAAGATCACAAATAGTATCTAGTCGAAAAAATTACCCTCAAAAATTGAAAAAATTGCCCTCGTTCCCCGTAAATGGGGGAAATTTCCAAAACAATTACAAATTGAAAAATCGCTAATTTTTGACATCTTTTCAATTTTTTTTATTTAAAACTTCCATAACATTTTTAAAAATCACCAAATCATAATAATTTTTTTTTACAGATACAGAAGTATTCACCTATCATTTTGTATATATATTTTTTTAATTTTCCCCTTAACGTGTCCACAGACAGGATTCAAAATAACAACTTCTTAAAAAAAAAATTAACTATTTCAACTTAACTTGAAAGTGTACCAGAAATACTGACACTTCTATATATATTTTTAATTAAATTTAACCAAAACGATTTTTGTAAAACAATTATTTATATATTTTTAATTTTATAATGCTATTACTTTTTTTTATGGCAATTACTATTTATATACTTATTTCATTCTAAATACTTTATTTTTAGATCGGACCATTTCCCTTTATTTAGAGGTGGTTAAAACTTAAAAATGCGTATAAAATGTAAAACTTTTTTAACTTAATTTTAATTAAAATATATTTCTTCATATGCAACCTAATAATCTCACATAAATATTTATTTTATTAGTTAAATGTATTTTATTTTTATTTAGAACATATGTAAAACTCTAATTCCAAAATTGAAATTTGTGCAAAAATGGGTTAAACTATATTTTGGTCTCGTATGAAAATTCCTCGTAGACCAGTAAATTTATTTATAAATAACAAACAATTTTTTTTTTAGTATTGCATCCAGAATTTAACTTTCATATAAGTTTGCCATTACAGTAATAACTACTTTATAATTTTTTATTTCTCCGTAAAATTTACTATCAGAAACTATTAAACTTAAACGCTATCTACAAATTTGCATCAAACTCTCAGATTAAATTTATACTTGACCCAACTATGCCACATCTCCAATGAACCACGACCCTACTGTGCGGGATTGGGTTTTTAAAACTGATTATTGGATATTGTTCCTTTTATATTATAATTAGTGATTTATTATCCGATGTAAATTATAAAGCAGTAATTATGTTTTAATTAATTAGACTGTTCTATTTAGGGTTGTTATGTAACAGGAATTTATTTAGAAGGAGCACGTTGGAATTTAAAAGAACAATGTTTAGCTAGATCAGAACCTAAAGTTTTAATAGAAAATCTTCCCATTCTTTCTGTTATACCTATAGAAACTCATAGGCTAAAGTTACTTGTAAGTTATTCCCATTTAGTCTTAAGAGTAAAGTTTATTTGAGTTTTAATAATTACAGAACACAATTCGTACTCCAGTATATACTACAACCCAAAGGAGAAATGCAATGGGTGTTGGCTTAGTCTTTGAAGCTGATTTAAAAACTCGACATCATAGTAGTTTATGGATACTACAAGGAGTTTGTTTAATATTAAATACCGATTAAAAATGAAAGTACAAAATTGTTTATTATGCCTTGCCTTGTTTGTTAGAGGATAAATAAATTACTCTAAATTTTTTTTTATTATTATAGAAAAAAATCATATACACAACAGTCACCAAGATATTTAATAACTTGATTTAATTATCATTTATATGATTTTTTTTTTAATAAATATTGTCTTCTTAGAGTAAAATCAAAACATATTTTTATTATTTATTTTTATAGTAAAATAAAACATTAAAGTATTTTTTAAAATCTTTAAATATTTCAAAATAGCTATTTTTTAGTTTTTTTTTACAAAAAAAAAAAATTAATGGAATGATGTTTACATTTGGAATTATTATAATGTTTATGTCAACTGTGCAAGGCATCTCATATTTTGCTATCAATCTTGTTTAATTGAAGTACTTGGATCTTGAATTTTGTCAACACCTTATACTTCACGCTCCATTGAGCAAAAGGCATTTGTGCCCAACACTTCGTCTTTATACCTTAGCATTGCCCTCCTAATCTAAAAATGAAATGATTATTTGATCAAAGTTACTTAAAAGAGTTGTTTGTTAAGTCTGCTACATCTTTTACTTAAAAAATTAATAGTTAAATCATTTTTAAAAAAAGGTCTTGTTTGCTGCGTGTATTTTATCACATAAGCGTCTAGGCATAGTATTGGTAGATTGTTTCCAGATATATACGTATAGTATGGAAGCTTTGTACATTACTGATATCATGGTGACTCTAGTAAGATAGACAAGANTGTACATTACTGATATCATGGTGACTCTAGTAAGATAGACAAGATTTTCCAATTAAGAGGAAATAACAATTGACCTACAAATATAATTTACATTAATTATTTATTAGTAAACATTATTATTAGTACAACACTTGTAAGAGGTATGACATTTTTGTAGAACAAGTTAAACACATACTAAGTTTGAGAGAGAGATGAAACTAGATAATTTTTATTATTATTTTAATTTGGAATGTTTTTAAGTATAACAATTGATTAACTTATCATTAAAACAAAATACTCTGACTTATGAAATAATTGACTTTAAATATTACAGGTTGGATAGCCCCCTGAAAAACAATGGATTAAATATTTTTAAGAATAAAAGAAACTCAATTAGATCTTTCAAATGTTTATTTTCAAAAATAATAAGAAATTAAAGACAATTTGTGAATAAACTGTAAAATCATGCAAAATTGTAGTTTTTTGAAAATTTATACAAGTTTTAGGCAATTAAGTGTATATCCTTCGCACACTACTCATGCCATTTTAATCAGATAGTGGGCAGTTATAAAGGATAATTTTGAAAAATCATTAACATTATCATTGTCTTCGAGACAAACATGTATATTCAAATATTTCGAAATAATACACGATAACAGCCAATTGCTTGTTTAAAATTTTTATATGATATGTATATAAAATTTTGATGATAATTCCGAACTTGGCTTAAAATTTTTTCTATCATATATATTTTTGAAACAATTAGTAATTAGAATGTAAGCAATAATTACACTGTAAAATAATTATAAAAATATTTTAAACATTTTTTATCTTACTTTCCTTGAGTGATTTTAATGTTTAATTAGAGTGTAAAATTTGGGACTTTTCCATTAAGTTTAACCGATTTTTTGGATTTTGAGTGCTATTTCTTATAAAAAATAGGTATACTCTCAAATAAGATATTTTTTTGGTTTAACTTTTTAAGACAAACAGAAAATTATAAGGATTTAAAATATAAAATTTTTAAGGATTTTGATTAAATATAAATTGTTTTTACGAATAATATGAATAAATCTTGAAAAATTTCAACAAATATTGTTATTTTTTATATCACTTCAGTATTTTTAAGTTATTGAAGCAATGATAAAATACAATCATACATATATATATATATCTATATATATATATATCAAACTCAACTTTAAAGATCTAAAAAATCGGTTAAAATTGATGGAAAAGTTCCAAATTTTACACTCTAATTAAAAATCATAAAATAACTTAAGGAAAGTAAAATAAAAATGTTTTTAAATATTTTTATTATTATTTTACAGTGTAATTATTGCTTAAATTCTAATTACTAATTGTTTCAAAAACTATATATGATAAGAAAAATGTTAAGCCAATTTCGGAATTATTATCAAAATTATATATAACAAATCATATAACAAATGTAAGCAACAAAACATTTTATGTTATTTGCTGTTGTTATGGTTGATGATTTTTACCGCACTCGCGTGGGGTTATAGTACTAGGGAAGAGAAACACAACACCTTTTTGGTTCAAAGTAACGTTGTATGATTTATTTGATGTTGAACAACACTTTAGATTGCTTTATATAAAATTTATAACAGAAACAAAACACAGTAAGCAATTTTGACGGAAGATATATACATGTGTGTACGCGAAGACAATATATCGTAACGGCGTGTTCGGCGCTGTGTTGCTGACGGCGAGCGATCCAATCAGTACGGTGTCACGGAAATGATTTCACGTATATTTGCGGCAGGTCGTAGATGGACGTGCGGCACTTGCTGGACTTTGTACCGTGGCGTATCGCACGCGGTGTTAGTCAGTCAAGCTACCATATGCACGTAGTAGGGCGACGGCTGATAAAGGTGACACGGGTCGCGGGGCTCCGTGTATAGAGAACGTCGCGGGACCGTGTCACTGTCATGTGTAATTTAAAGAGTTAAAATTCATTTTTATAAAGCTTATATACAATTAGGTTTTTAAAATTATATCATATCAAGAAATAACGAATTATTTATTCCGAAAATTAGTTTCATAACATAAAATTTTATTTTTCTTTAAAAAAAAATCTTACATTAAATTACGTGAGATTTTGTCACGGTGACAGCCATATTACGCAGTTTCCACTAGTTTACATAAAAATACATAAATTTGTACAATATAAAATAGCATAAAATTATGTCATACATTTTTTTTGCTATAACTTGTAGTAACTTAACTTATCTTGTTTAGTTAATAAAAAGGTTTTTTTGATTCAACTTAAAAATTAATTAATAAAAAAAAATAACGAATTAATTTTAACTTTTTTCAAATATTTTAATTTTAACAGGAAAAAAAATCATTAACTTTCTCAGCTTAGTAATTTTTTACTATTAAGAGTTATTATAAACATTTCTTTATGATCAGTATTCCTCTTAAAGCATTACTTTTTTTTAAAATAGAAAAATATAAAATTTTAAGAATATTGTTTGTATCGTAGTAACAATATTTCAGAAACACACAGTAGCATGTTAAATATAAATCAAATATTTTCTTATGATCTATTAAAGAAATTATTATCTGTTATATTAATATTTTTTGATCATGACTGGTTTTCCCAAATTACAACCCAAATATTTTTACGGAATAACAGTGGGTCTAAATGGTAGCGATTGTTTGTTTTTTAATGATAAAGAATTGGTATATATAGCCTCAGGTGTCATTGTGATTCAAAACATAGTAGATCACACGCAAAAATATATACATTTATATGACTCAACTACAATAATAACAGCAATGGCATTGAATGCAAATAAGTATTATTAGTTTCAAATTGCAAATAAATTAAATAATTTCTAATTATAATTTTTTAATGCGTTTATAAGAAATGTTGTGGCTCTTGCTGAAAGAGGAGGTCGACCAAAAGTAAGAATATATGATCTAGAAAGTTTGAAATATAAGCATACTTTAGAAGTTCCTCAGAAAGATAAAGCAAATGGAATTATTAATTTAAAATTTTCTTGTGATGACATATTCTTAGCAGTGCTAACAGATGGTCCTGATTTTATGATGTACTTTTATAGTTGGGAAAATTCGATGATTGAAAGCTCAACGCAAGCTATAGAACCTTCGACTTTTATAGGTCCAGTTCTTGACGTAAATAACAACCAAATTTATTACTATTATTATTTTTATTATGAATATTTGTATGATTAATTTTTACGTCTTCGTTTTGAATCATATGCTTATACTAGAAAGAACGGGAAAGCTTACGCACTGAGGTACTAAAATAGGTAGACTGCCAAAATTTGATTTTTTAATTAAATTTTTTACACAAATTTAACTAATAAGTTAAAGTTCAAAAAGTTCATATAAGTAGGATAATATAGAGAGATATGCCCTACCCCCGCCTAGTATTTTATTATTTAAACTATCCGTTTTCAATATATATACTAAATAAATGAAATATAATAAAGATTAGCTACTAAAATAAATTACACATTTTTTTTTTTTAATAGTCAAATATATAATATATTTAAGTAATCATTAGTATTTTATAAATAAAATCTTTTACATTATTTTTTGAAAAAAACAAATTACAATATTTTATGAACTTTATTAGTCATAGGATTATATTCAAACATTTTGTCGTGTACAATTAAGCAATGTGCTGTAGTGTTGGTCGGAAAATTTTCATCAGATTCCAATTCTAATCTAATATCTAATGGCGCGTTTTTTAATTTTTCGTTTTGCCTTGATCAGTCAATGACAATGAGTGTGCAGCTGTCTTGCATTCTGTTTTTGTCAGCATAGGACACGCCATCTCCTTTTCATAGAACGCCTCTTGGAATTGAGTGTACATGTGATATGGTGCAGCATACTTATCATTTGGAAAGTCCATTCGTAAGTTGTCATAGGGGTACGATTCCGAGTTCAGATATACTTTTAGAGATGATAACGAACAATGATTAAATCTACTACTATCTTTGTTTATTTTGTTTTTTCTATCCACTTGAAAAGCTACAATAACAAATCTCGGGCTCTCAGTCGGCGATAAAGTTTTCACAGTCCAGGCTTGTCTTTTACTATTTGGTAGGCCGGGATTTTCATATAGATCCCAACTTCGAAATGCTATTTAAAGCGGTGTTGGGATTTCCAGGATTTTGAGCATGTCTAACCGCATGGCATCCGACACGCTTACATGTGGAATTTTCTATATAACTTTGTTCAAAATAATTTTACAACTTGATAAATTATCATTTGTCGAGTAAATACAGTTTAAATCTGTACCACTCCGTTGCAATATTAAGTCTTGACGATAATTAACGATGACTTTTTTATGATCCTCGGCATATCCTAATAATAACCTTAAAGGTATGCATATTTCAAATATCATACTCGTATTTGCAGTTACAACACTCCAGCCGGCATTTTCAAACCGTGTAAGATCATTCGGTGAAAACGTGACGTATCCTTCTATTGTAGAAATTATCCCAGGCATATGCGATCTATCTATTTCTATTGAGTTCAATAAATATTTTATTTCAGTGAAGCAGTGAGCTAGCCAATTGTTAGCCAATGTACATCTGAGCCGGCAGGAAATCCCGAGAGTTCTCCATCTATCAAGAGATAGGAATCACATGTAAGGGTGTAAACATCTTGTTGTTGAATACATATTCGTATCTCATCATTATTTGATAGTGCGCTAACCGAAAACGGTTGATAGGAAAAATAATCCAATTTCACTATGCGGTCTTCATTGTACGGTGTTTCCATTACTTCTAAAATATCGTCCATTGTTAATTGAATAACCCAAAGCAGAAAGAATTTCAAGGTTTTCACGTCGTATCTCTTCAACTAGTCGTTGTTTAATAATTGGTTTTTTAATGTTACTCTTGGTTTTATTGAATCGAAGAACCATCGCGTATATGTAGACGTATGATAACAGGCTCACCTCTAAAATTAATTTCTTTATCGTCTTGATCTGTTATTTTCACAGTTATAGATTATAGTTGATTGGATATTAACGGATAGTATATCAAATTTTTAGGATTTTCGACAATACGGTAACCAGCTGCCACTCCTGGATTAAACTCGTGAACCGTATGACTAGGAATTCCGTTGTTAAATGCGCCATAAGCAGCGTAACAATTTATTTTTATACTAGTTAAATTATTTATGTTAGCAACTTGATCCGACATATGTATTTTATTTGCGTCGATTATTTTTCGATGAAAGCCTAAAATACCACCTATACTATTTTCAACGCTAAAATCTATCTGTCGGCTACACTTTAATTCTGATTTTAAAGTGCTTTTATTAGCCTTCAACATGAATTAGATTTTATACGACTGAAAATGTTCTTCTAGATATTTACTAATGTCTTCAAGATCATAAGTGCCTTCAGGCACTTTAATTTCTATGTTATTTTCAAGAAGCTCGTTATTTGTATTTATCAAAGTGAATATATTATTTGACTTGTCAATATTTGGTATTGAATAACATCCGTAAAATCCCAACAACTTGATGTCACTTCCGACGTTGTGTCATGCAGCATAAGGGTCAGCGATTTAAGCATTGTGATTTTAAACATTTTAAATACAGTTGACCACATTATATATGTGTCACATTATATATGGTATATTTTTGTTCGGATTATAATAGTATTTCACACGCAATCCGGTGAAATATTTTTCAAGTTCCAGTGGAGGAGGTTAATTTCCAAAAGCGTCAAAATACACCACGTTCTTGCTTTTCTTGAAATACGCTACCCAACGCGTTCCTTTTCCACGGGCAATGTCCAAATTAAAAACTGCACTCTCGTAGAATTTGGATTTGACAGGCAACTTATCTCTTGAAAAAACACCGCGGAAATGACTGATTCCGAATGACTCAGCATAATTTATAATATCTAAATCGCTGAGTGCACGTCGCTTGGGTAGTGTCATTGTTAGTTTTTTTGATGTTTCAAATAGAATCCACCACCCTTCTTTTTCCCAGTATATGGGTGCAAGTATAATGCAATACCGATTTTCACTGATTTATTCGAATTAACGTTTTTTCTGACTTCGTGGGCAGCTCTTACAATACTCGATACTCTTTACGTCCCACTCGTAGAACACCACCAAAACCCATTCCAATCTTTCTTTTAGCTTTCATGGTATTTGTAACAGCATACGCAACAGACTTTTCTCCAAATGATCTATCGTTCGCTTTTACGCGGTCCCAAGCACGTTTTTCCACCTCGTAATCGCAATATCATGTTCACGACACGCAGCATCGAGTTTATTTATTCCAGGATCACCACGTGCTAGTCTTTTATTAAGTTTTGTGCATAGTCCGCAATAATGATACCCTGGAGCATGCATTTCATTGGGCAATCGATTAATTATTGAATTAACAATACCGCATCCAACATTTATTACTATGTTCTTACCACTTATATTACACACGTTTTATTTCTATTTATTTAATTCGTAATACATATTAATTAGCATAGAGGGAGATGCTGATGTGACAATTCTACTCGTCTGTAGCCCGGAGCTACTGACGTCGAACTAACAAAGGGCAGTTGTGTTTGAGTGGCCGTTATAGACATAGTTTTCAATATTATTACTTTCGTCTTATTTATATTATTTATAACTTAACTTGTTTTATTCAACGACCCGTCTATCGCCAATTGTCATTATGGCCAACCAACTCCGTCTCACTTGGATATACCTACTAACCAACTGTACTAGGATTCAGGTCAGACGTATTGTACATTACATATAACTTGTTTATATATATATACGAAATACTGTCAATAGAAGAAGAGTTACGAGAACAAGGTGTAATATCACGAGTAAAGTAGCAGAGAAAGTAGCAAATTAATGCATAAGCCAGCTTGAAAAATATTTCCTAGAAGAAGAGTTGTATCGTACGGCAAAGATGATTTGTGGCAAGCAGATTTAGTAGATGTGAAAAAATACTCTACAAAAAATAAAAATTTTACATTTATTTTAACGATAATCGATGTTTATTCAAAATATGCGTCGGCTGTGCCTTTAAAAAATAAATCTAGTACAGAAGTCAAGTCGGCTTTTGAGAAAGTCTTGTTCAATAGATCTCCAAAGAACTTGCAAACAGACCGAGAATTAGAATTTTTCAACAAACATTTTCGGATGCTCATGAAGAACAAAAATATAAATCATTCAACCTACTCTACAAAGAGAGCCGCTGTTGTGGAGCGATTTAATAGAACACTAAAAGAAAAAATGTGGAAAAAATTTACTACCAATAGATCATATAGTAGGATAAACATTATAGAAAATTTAATAACAAATTACAATAATACAAAACATAGCGCCATAGGGACAATTCCTAGTATAGCATCACGTATTCCTGGAAATATCAGTTTTAAACGGTGACCTATTTTAAAATACAATAAAAAGTTTAATATTGAAGATAAGTTCGTCTGAGTAAGCATAAAGCAGTATTTTCTAAAGGATATACACAAAATTGGACATCGGAAGTCTTTACAAACGCAAAAATTTGTGATTCAAAGCCCGTCGTGTATGAACTGACAGATGAAAACAACAGACCTATAAATGGTTGTTTTTATGAGCACGAACTTAGCAAGTCTCAATTTCCAGAAGTTTATTTAGTGGAAAAGATCATTAAGAAGAATAAAGACAGATGTTTTGTCAAGTTTGTTGGTTTGGATAATTCACATAATAAATGGATAGATTCAATCTATACTATATAAAGTACCTATAATTTTTTTTTTTTTTTTTTATTTATTGTAATAAAACATTTAGTTGAATAAATAAACAATTACAAATACAACACGAGGTTTTTTTATTTAATGATTAACAATTTAAGTATATTCACATTTATTTTTTTTTATTATGTTATATTTTAAAACTATATATGATTACTAACATTTATTTACAACTATTTAACAAAAAAAAAAAAAAAAATCTTAAAACTATTTATAAATGGTACACATATTTTTACAAATTAAGTTTTCAATATTTAATTTTAACAAAATTTTTTTTTCCAACGAGAATTACTACGTGTGGTGGTGGTATAGCATAATGCACGTGAGTCAACGTGTCGACTCTGTTTTCGAGCGTATAGCGCTTATCGTCGAAACGGTTAAGCCAATATACTACAGGTCAAAATGATTCTGTTGTTCTTGCTCCGCGACTCTTAGCGGATACACAAACCACTTCATGTTAACGTCGTCTCGTTCCAAGCCGTACACGTTGACAGACACGTTAAGGTTTCGCCGCTCAAATATTTTAATTTGGGACACAGGTGTGGAGAACATCGACCTCGTGAAATCATAACTGTGTTCCTCATTAAAATATTTTTGATTAACACGTGTATTATTATTAACCCCAACGTGCCTCGCTAAAATGGACCACTTGAAACAAGACTGATCAATATTCTGTGGGTTGATGATTGCTTTTCTATGATTAATTTCTGGCGGAATCGGAATATATGATGAGTCGGTGAGGGGCGTATACTTGTTTACGCTGAGCATAAGGCCGTCGATATGCGATAGAGAAAAGCCGCTACACCACCCCGAGTACTTGTCTTCCTCGGCGAGCATAACCTCAAAATCTTCATCGACCGCACACCCGATATTCGTAACGGATAGCAATGCCCTAGCCCGTGTTTTGAAGGCACGGTCGTCGATCGGTGCTTCTGATCGCGGTATATGGTATGAGGCCTCCAATTCGAGATTACGCTTGATCGGACGGTTACCTACTATTTCAGTGAGTCTGCGCAACCAGCTTGGGTTTAACGGGGCGCAGAAAATCTCGATAGCTCGCGAAATTTTCCACGTTCTTCCGATAAAACCAAACAGCCCCCGCTCCAATGCGGAATCGATCTCGGTGAAAACACGGATATCCATCAATTGCATACGTAACCTTTTCTACCTAACCGCGCTGTTGTTAGCCCTACTACGCTTAGCCGCCTGACGTGATGAAACAAATTTCGCGGAAGTAGCTTTAATCAAAAATGAAATTAATTATTTTTAATAAATTAATGAATTTAAAAATTTAAAATTTTTAAAAAATAAATTTATTAAAATAAAATAAATTTGTAATTGGAAAAATCTACATACCTTGTGTAGAAGACCATTGAGGTTGCTCGTTCATGGTTTTATTTATACGTGTAAATTATGAAATAATAAATTTCTGGTTTTCAAAAAAACAACTGCACGTCAATGATAATTAAAAACAAATGTGACAGGACAAGAAGTGTTTAACCGGTTATATAGTAAAGAATAAAATACGTAGGCGTGAAAAATCGCCAGTGGTGTCACTTTTATCATAAAATGCATATGAAAGCGATCGTTACTGTATGGTGGTACCTTTGATGTTTGAAATATGCTTACCTAAGCGTCTGGTAGCTGATGATAAAATTCTTAGAAATTATAGCTGTATATCTAATATTAATAATACACAGACAGCGGCAAAATTTTTTCCCATAAAGTTACAGACGCTTATTTATTAATTACAGAGCGTTATAATACAGTTATACCTTTGATATTGAATATATGCTTACCTATGCGTCTGGTAGACGGTGATAAAATTACAGACGCTTATGAGCGTTATACTTTAATCATATCTTTGATGTTGGAAATATGATTACCTAAGCGTCTGGTAGCCGATGATAAAATTCTTAGAAAAAGTTTACGTTGGGTTTCATCCTCTCCCTCCACCACTATTAGGTTAATTTGCGTTGGATTTTTTCGTTCCCCCTTCCATTACATTACGTTAGTTTACGTTGGATTTAATCTCCCGTATACTTCCTCCGCGACTTGAACGGTGAGTGAGTGAGGAGGGGGCCAGTTCTCTCTATATTACCCTACTCATATATTTTAAGTTTTATTAATAATTTTAGGATTAGTACTTATTGAATTACAAGCATTTAAATATATAGAGTGGGTATGGATCACGGTTGGAACTGTATGTGCTGTTCTCAACCGTGCTACATACCCAGTTTATGTTTTAAAATGCTTGCAACTTAAGAAGAACAAATCTTAAAGTTGTTATCGGATTCATCGCAATTTTTTGTAAGAAAAGAACTAAATATTGGCTACCTTGAAATTTCAAAAAAAATAAAATTTTAACTTTTTACCTAGTAGAGAAAATTAATAAAGATAATCTTTTTACGTTGAGCAAATTCATAAAAATTATTTAAAATAAAATAATGCAAAGTATTTACTAAATCAGAAGTTATAAAATATGTCAAAACACTATATATATTACATTTATTTTTTTAAGATGGCGCTAAATCCTTCAGACAGTACAATCATGTGTTTTGTTGGCTCAAATCTTTTTCGCCTAATGACAATTACTGAAACAGTATGGAAGCAGTATGGATTCCAAACTATAAAAGATGTAAATTTTACTAGTGTATGTTGGTTAAATGGTGATAGGTAATTTTTTAAATAAGTTACATTGTCATCTTGCGTTATTTTTTATTCATCTTTAATATAATTAACCTTTTTAGAATTCTCGCTGGCACACTAGATTGTCGAATTTTCTATATTGAAAATGGCAACCTTCGAGCTGTGTATGTTGCAAATACAATAAAGTATATTGATATTAAGTATAATATGGAAAATCCATTAGAAGTTTTAGCCTCACATTCAAAGACAGATCAATACAGAAATGTCAGATGTTTAACACCTATTAATACAGGATTTTTATTTATTGTTGGAAGAAATAATATTTTTTATTTTGCAAAAGAAAATGACGATAAAATGTTTGTTAATTTATTATGTCATTAGTAAAGTCCTTTAAAACTATTAGACGAATTTATATTATTTTTAATGAGGAATCTCATTTTATTTTTGCTCCATATTTCTCTTAACATAAATAAAATTTAATCTTGTTATAAACGATATAGATACTCAAAACGGGCAGAGTTTGCAATTGAGAAAGATTTGGGTATATTGGAAGAAAATATTTCATTACAAACAGTTGAATGTTTAAGCATTAATCCAAGCACACAGAAATTGGTGTGCGTTACAAAAATGTCGCAAATGTATTGGACTACACTAGCACTCACACCTGATATAATTCTAGTAATAAATATTTATTTTAATTTGACAAAAGTTTAATATATGATATCTCAATAATATTATAGTAAAATCATGTGTGAATATTAGAGGTTAATTTCCTCTCTTACAAAATACAAAAATTATTATAAAATTTAATTGAATGTAATATAAAAATATTTTTTGGAAGGGTAATTTGCCCCCTTTTTAATGTTTTTCAATATTTTCATGTTTATTACAAGAGTCTCGGGTTGAGATTACTTTAATAATTTTTAGTGTCCAGTGAAAATCTAAGCCAGTGTTAAAAATTATAAAAATAGAGATTACTCCATTTGATAATAAAAATTAAATACTTTGAAAAATTTATCTTAAAGGATCTATTTTTTGAATTGTATAAAATATAATATAACTTATAATTTTAATAATATATACAGTACATGTTACTTTTCAGTCATTAAAATTTTTATAATAGAATTCAAATTAACTATAAAATTATAATTAACACAACTAGCCATATTAATTTTTAATCATACAATTTTCTTAATTATTTTCTTGTATAGTAAAAATGATTTTCCAAAGATTATGTCTATTGCGTAATAATAAGTTTTAAAATACATGATAATATTAATAACATATTAACTATAAAATTGAACATATAATTATTACCATTAACAAGAAAAATATTCACCATATAAGTTTTAATTACTGATTTTGGTTTGATATGTAAAAATTGTATATCAATGTTTATTTCAAAAAAATATCCCAATTTTTCATTAGTTTTATTGAAATTAAAAAGTTTTTGCTTTTAACTTAAAAATGAAAATTAAGGAAAACTAACTCTTATCAAAATTCCCATTTTTATAATTGTTAAAATGTTTTACTCACTTTATTTTATTTTAAAATGTATAGTACATATTTACTGAAATATATCAATTTATTGAAGTATGAACCTACTATTTAGGATTTATACTTAGAGATGAAATTAAAAATGTAATATTTTCCGGATATTTTTGCTGACATTTTTATGTTTTCAAATTTTTATATTGTTTTTATTTGATATTAAATATTTACGATCGATATCTCATATTAAATTAATTTTATTATTCATTATTCAAGGGAATTAAGTGAGGGTTATAAAATAATATACTCAGCTAAGTATAGTACAAAGAATGGCGTAGGAATAATAGTGATAGAGGAGATGTAAAATAAATTAGTAGAAGTAGCTAGGAAAAGTGACAGACTTATCCCGACTTTTGGGATCCGGCTAACGGGGGAGGCCACACCACGTTCTGAATCAGCTCTTGATTAATTTCGGGCTGATTCACAACGTGGTGGTGTGAGTTTTAGAGACGGCGTGGGCCGCCCTGAGGTAATGCCTAACGGTAGTTCCAGGGCGGTCCACAGTATGCCGGTCGTGGAAAAAAAAAAAAAATGAGGTGATGAATGAGGTACCTGACAATAAGGATGTGATGATAGGTGGAGATACGAATGGACTTTTTGGCAATGAGAGGAGAGGATAAGAAAAGTACATGGAGGGTATAGTTTTAGTTGGGAAGAATGAGGCTGGGGAGAGAAAATTGGATTTCACAGTATGATCTTGCTGTGATTAATACTTATTTTAGAAAGAGGGAAGAATATTGTATAATTTATAAAAGTTGGAGTAATAGATCACAGATTGATTATTTTATGGGGAAAAGAGAGAGTAAAAAATTGTATAGTATTTCATAGAGAATATAATTTGACAACATAGACTAATAATGGAGTTTTGGCGTAGTGAACAGAGAATATACAAAAACAGAGAGAACTCAGGAGAAAAATCGAGGATCCGGTAGTGGAAATTGAAAAGGGAAAATGAAAAAGAGTTTGCCAGGACGGTAAAAGAGATGACGGTGTGGAATGTCGAAGGAGACATATGTGATGTGTGTAATAAATTTGCTAGTTATGTAAAGAATACTGCAAAGAGAGATCGTTGGTGAGAGTAGTAGTAGAATACTAGGAAACAAGGAAACCTGGTGGTTGGATGAGAACGTTAAAAAAATTATAGAAAGTAAGAAAAAGCAATTCAAAGTATGGCAAAAGATTAAAAGGAGAGAAAATTGGATAGAGTACAAACGCTTCTGCAAAGAAGCCCAGTGTGGGATAAGTAAGGTGAAGTATAAGAGGTATGATAAACTAAGAACAAAGAATGGTGAAAAAGAAATCTATAGACTTGTAAAAGTAAGAGAAAAAAGGTCTAAACATTATCATTTTGTAAGGTGTATAAAACGTGTTGATAAGAGGATGCTATCCAGTGATAATAATGTGAAGAAAAGGTGGAAAGTGTATTTTGAAAAATTAATGAATGAGGAGTATCCAAAAGAGACATTAGAGAATATCTTGTGGAACAAAGGACTGATAGATTTAATTAGTCATAAATATAAAAAGTATGGGACGCTGTGGCATTAATGAAAAAAAATAAAACAGTAGGACCAGGTGAAGTACTAGTAGAAGTATGGAAATTAATAGGTGGTGTAGACATGAGGTGGTTGAAGGATCTTTTAAATAAAATCTTATTAAAAGGGAATATACCAAATAAATGGAAGAGGCATAAAGCTTATGAGTCATAGTATGAAAATTTGGGAAAAGGTATTATATAAGAGAATAAGAAAATTAGTATCTAAAAAACAGTTTAGATTTATGCCTGGTAAGTCAACAATGGATACATTATTTTGTGTGAGGCAACTAATAGAAAAGTATAAGGAAAAGAAGACAAAACTGTGTATGATACTTAAATTTAGAGAAAGCACATGATAGAGTGCCGATAAAGGTTTTAAGGTAGGCATTAATGAGAAACGGAGTCCCAAAAAGTTACATTACTACAATAGAGTATATGTATGTTACTTGCTGACGATAAAGTGTTAATAGGAGAAAATTAATCAAAGGTTAGAGTTGTGGAGATCAGCTCTTGAAGAAAAAGATTTAAGTATAAGTAGGAGTAAGGCAGAGTATATGGAGTACGAGTTTGACAAAGGAGAACACGAGGTAAGTGAAATTAGGAGTTTAGTGACAATAGGTGACGACGTGATAGAAGAGGTGGAAAGTGTTATGTATTTGAGATCAATTGTACAAAAGAGCGGTGATATTGACGAGGATGTAAAACACAGGATTAAGTGGGGGTGGTTGAAGTGGAGAAAAGCATCTGGTGTCTTATGCGATAAAAGAATTCCTATAAAGCTGAAAGGTAAATTCTACAAAACTCTAGTGAGACCAGCTATGATGTATGGTTTAGAGTGTTGCGCGGTTGAAGAGAAAGTAGAGCAGAGAATGAGTGCAGCAGAGATAAGAATTCTTAGATGGATGAGTGGAGTGACTAGAAAAGATAGGATAAGGAACAATCATATAAAGGTATAGGCGTAGATTGTCAATCGTGGATAAGTTTAGAGAAAATAGACATAGATGGTTTGGTCATGTTATGAGGAGGGAGCAAATCATTTTCTATTTTAACTATAAATAATTCTATTTTAAATTATGAATATTAAAATTAAAAATTAAGTAATTCAAATTAATGTAATGATTCAAATTATAATAATGTACTCTTGCTACTTATTTATGAATATAACTTAAACAAATAGCGTTACAATTAATTGTATAAGTATAGTTTATATAATTTATAGGGTTCAACTGTTAAACTTAAACCTCTAGGAGAAGATATGCATTATGGTGGCATTGCTAGCCTATCAACGTGTCAATGGAAACCAATATTTTTGACATGCGGAAAAATAGATGGGACCATAAAGGTGTGGGATTATATTAGCCAAACACTTATATTTTCTCAGCACTACCAAGAAAATGTGTTCAGTGTCTCCGTACATCCAACAGGTTTGTACTCGCTGGCATCGTTCATTAGCAAGGTGGAATTTCAATTGATCCAGATGGAAGGTTTAAAGGAATGGAAAAAGATTGCTATGATGGATTGCAATCTAACTGCTTTTAGTAATTCGGGTCATATGTTTGCATTAGCCAACCATCACAAAGTTGATGTTTATTGTTCTGTTATTTTTGAACATAGATATACACTTAGAGGACACTCGGGAATAGTAACTAGTTTTAGTTTTAGTTTTAGTTTTAGTTTTAGTTTTAGTTTTAGTTTTAGTTATTATCGAGGTGGACATAATGCCCACGCACTCAGACCTGTTGGTCCATTGTGCGCACCTCATACCAAATTGTCTTGATTCAGTTTACCCATCACCAAAGTGTTAATACATTATCAACCATAAAGTCACCTATAAAGATGACCAAAGAGTCCTGTCTTTCTGTCGAAATTAAGTATCTCTCTGGGTTTTAGGTTTTTAATATCTTCTTTTTCAGGAAAAGGTTTATTCAAGTAGTTTGATCTTAGTGTGGACAAGGCTTTACATTCGCACATGATGTGAAATAAGACTTCCTCTTCTATNATGTGAAATGAGTCTTCCTCTTCTACTCCACACTTCCTGCACAATGGTGATTCCGATACCCCCATTGCGTTAAGATGCTTAAGCAGGTGACCATGTCCTGTCAGTAGACCAGTCAGGGTGCTTATTTGATGTCTAGTCATGCTATTAAGATCACCCAGCAATAAACCAGGGGTCTTGATAAACATTTTAGATTGTCTAGGTACTACCAAGTACTTCCAGATTTTCCTGTGTTGTTCTCTGCACCAATTCTTGGGTAACGCTTTGAGCGATTAGCTGTCCTTCCAGGCTGGTGGCTGCTTGGCAACATAATCTGTGAAGCAAACTCTGGCCATTCCAAAATATGGACTGCGCTTCAGTTCCTCCAGTTTGACCATGCTGTTTTCGTCCACACTTAGGAACAAAGTTTGTCCTTTCGGGCCAACCTCTGTCTCATGGTGGACTTTCCAGATCGCCATGTTCAGCCCTGGGTTTTGTTTTGCCAAAATTTCCAAGATCTTCTTGGACTCTTTTGGCAGCCCTGGTATATGAGTGACCATCCGTTTGTACTTGATCGTGTTGTAGGCTTCCAAATGGAATTCTGCACCGTCCCAAGGTTTTATCAGGTTGTCATGGTCAGTGAGCCACTTAAGAGAGCTCTCTTGGGCTGTACTGATCACAAGTGCTCCATCAGTGAGTCTGGTGTCTTCAAACCTTGGTACATCGGTTCCATCAGTACCCGACAGTATCAAGTCTCCAACACAAGACTCAATGAGTAGCCCCTGCTCTGTGGTCAACTTGTTAGTGGGGTAGCCTGCGAGGACCAGAGCCACTTTTTTATCATTGGTTACCACGTCCCTGTAGGTCGGTACCCAATGAGTTTTCTTACATGGAGGTTCTTGACCATTGTCCTCAGGTTTTTGAGCTTCGGTTCCCTTTGACTTTTTCAAGTCATCGGTTCCCTTGTCTCCCTCCTTTGGTAGGTTCTTCTGTCCCTCCATGATTGCTCGGCTCCTCTTCAGTTTGCGCCTCTGACTGCCGCTCAGTTTCTCAGGTCTAAGTTTTAGACCCTCGATTTTGTCAGCTACTGCTCCCAGTTGATCTTGCGATTCCTGGTCTACATTTGCTGACGTTGCTGTCTCTTTGCTAGTGGACGGTTCTTCAAGTGTCCCGTTGTTCGCATTGAGACCTTCGAGTTCAGCGAATCTTGTTCCGACAGGTTGTCCGTAGGATCCCTGATCGTCACATGTTCGTTGTTTTGTGGTTTTTCTATGTTTTTATCCATATAGTTCCCACGAGAAGTCTAGAAATAAAGGTCCGTCACAGCAGAGCTGGATACTGTGATAATGCTGTATACTCTATGGTGCGCCAGGTGCCATAGAGGATTCCAATGGTCACTTTACCTTTCGGCTAACTACCCTGTGACAAGTTAGCAACCCTTTCACTTGTTATGACTGAGTTAGGGGGGTTTATTCGCTGTTAGCAAGCTGGTAGGCCTACCGGTCCGAACTAACCAAAGTCATGACCGCTAAGAGCAGTGGTACGTGTTGCCACCCCCACTGAAATAACTAGGGTCCGCGGGGTTGTTAGGCCCGTAATCCTTGCGGATTCCCCTGCGGAGAGTAACTAGTTTTAAAAGAACTAAAATATTTAACTAAATAGTATACATTTAATTTTATTCCTCATATTTTTAATTTAGAAACAAGCGATAACTTAAAATATATTTACTTTACACAGATAACAGCGTTACGATGGGGGTTTCATGATGCCAATTTAATAACATGTGGCTTGGATGGTGCCATATACGAGTATAACATGAGAACTGGTGAGCGAGATTTGGATATTGTAAATCCCGAAATTGTCTACATTGACTTAGTTGTATCAAAAGATACTAGTCGTATGTTTCCAATTGCTCAAGATGGACGATTTAGAGAAATATACAATCAGACAGTTTGTATAAAGAAATTTTCTAATTTATACTTAATAACCTAATTAAGGGAACATTAAAGCACTATATTTTGACGTATCAAAACATATCTCAGATGATCATACCTAAAAATTTGTTGAATTAGGAGGCTACCATCAATTTTTTTAACTTTCGTATCATACAAATTGGTTTATTGAAGATCACTCATAAAAATTTTTAACTGCATACAAAAATTGAAAACTTTTGTAAAAAAAATTCTAGTTTTCTAATAATTAAATTTAATTAACTTGTTAGCTGGATGAAAAGATTTCCATTAGTTTAGTTAGATATAATCATCTTTAAATATCTTTTTCTATATTATATAATAATAGCAATATAATATTAATTATAATGTTTTTATCTTTAAACTTAATAAAAAGTTTATTGATTATGAGGATATTTGCTCTATTCATAATTTTAGTTATTTCGTAATGTAAATATACATAAGGGAAATTTAAACGCCGCAGTTCTATCCAATACAGATTCTATGTTATTCATAGCAGCTGAACATGGTGTAGTGTTATCTTTTGCTTTACCAATTATAACTAAGATACAGTTTAACGAGTTTCGAATGCACAACCAAAACATAACTAAAGTCTGTTAAAATAATTTTTTATCGATACAATTTTCAATGGAATTTAAATGAAAAAATCATTAAATAGATGTGTATTACGATGAATGATTTGTTTTTTATAACTTGTTCAAATGATGGTAGTTTATGTATTTGGGAAGTGAAAAATACTGAAGATAAAATGATCAAAGTTCACTCAGATTTTAATTATTTAGATGACATTCTTGTTACGGCATCAGATATTTCCGATAAAATTGCAACTATAGAGCAATTTGAAATACGAGTGGCTGAATTAGAACGAACCTATAAAGTGGATCAACTTAAAGAAACCAATATACGCACTATTCAAGATATTAGATTTATGAATTCCAGAATTATTGATTCAATGAAAAAAATGATGAAAGTAAAATTTTGAATACAGCTTTAAATTTATAAGTTAATGAAATTGTCTTTTTTAAGGATAGCACTAGAGAACACAATTTGAACATAATACTATTGAAACAAGAATTAAATAATCTTAAAGAATCTCATGAAAATACAATCGAGAAACTAGAATCTTATCATTTTGAAAATTTATTACGAGAGTATAAAAAATATACTCTTTTAGAAGACAAAATGTACAAAACGACTCTGGAATTGAAAAAGTAACTCATTATAAAATGAAAAATTAAATAAATAAAATAGAATGATTATTTTTAATTTATTTTAAATATAAATATTATTATAATTAATTTTTGTTTATAAGTTTTCAGGAGCTTTAGCCATAAGCTTCAATATTTACATACTACATGTAACTTTTATTAACAATTTAATGCTTACAATAAGTTCATAACAAAAAGCAAAAAACTATCTATGATTTACAATAGTTTAACTTTAAAATTAATACCTAAAAAAAATGGGGTCGTGACATAGTGGGTACGTGGCATAGTTGGGTACACTATAAATATTTGACAGTAATTATTTTAATAACTCATAAAAAACGCTCCGATGCAAATCTGTAGATGATGTTTAATTCCAAAAGCTACACGATCTCATATTTTCATATTTATATTCTGACATAACTACTAACTTACACGTTTTATGATTTATAAGTGTAATATTACACTTATGTTTCAGTATTTCCGGAACTTTGTGAAAAAGTTATCATTTGTAATCTTCCTCCTGTGGGCAAGTTTATATAAAAAATATATACAAAATAATATGTCAGTATCTCACGTATCAATTTAAAAAAAGTTAAATTGACTTGATCATTTTTAATAAATTTATGGCAGTTATAACTAAAAAAAAATTGAAAAATTTCGAAAGTTGTAATTTTTTGTGTAAATTTCCCTCATTTACGGGGAACGAGGGATATTTTTAAAATTTTTGAGGATAATTTCTTGGACTAGATACGATTTGTGATCTTTTGTAACGTATTGTTTAAAGAAATCGGTTCGGTGAGAGTTGAGAAAAAGTGATAATAGACACAAAAAAATATAAAAAAAAAATCATAGTAAAATTAATACCTTTTGAGATTCGCATCGAAGCTAAAAAAGAAAAACTGTATCGTAAAATATATCAGCTTCGATGCATAGCTCTAACTAGATCGATTTTGATGAACAATATTTCCATAGGTCATGAATTGAATCTAGTTGAATATATTACCCTCAAATTAAAAAAATTCCCTCGCCTTACAATTTTAAAAATTGCTAATTTTTGAAATTTTTTTATTTTTTTTACTTTTAACTACAATAACTTTTTTGAAAATAACCAAAACAATATAATTTTTTTTTTTTAGATACATTAGGTATTTACTTATTATTTTGTATATTTTGTATAAATCTGACCCTTTATCAGCCCACAGAGAGGGATTTAAAATAACAACTTTTTCACAACAAAATTACTTTTACAACTTAACTTTTGAAAATGGAAATAATGACACTTATATATATATATATATATATATATATATATATCTTAAATTAAAGCGTATGTGATATATTTAAATGAAAAATAAAATTTAATGTAAGTTTGTCTTTATGGTGAAAATTCTTGTTTTTATATTTTATATTTCTATAACTTTATATTAAAATACCTTATAAGGGTTTGCAATGGTAATGAGTCTATCCATTGTTATAAGAATTATATGAATATAAAATTAAAGTTATTTTGAATATTTTGTCTCCGACGTTAAGAGAAATGACTTTAACTTTTGAACTAGCTTAAATTGTTCTTGTTATCTAAAAACGCGTATGATGTAAGGTTGTCAAGTCAGTTACTCTTCAAACTTTCACGCTCGGAGTATGAGGTTCATATCTCATACGTTCTAGTAATTCGCATTTTCTTTTTTAAATATTTTAGAGTTTTTTAAAAAAATTCAAAATTTGTTTTATTTTTATATCATTTTTATTGATTAACTTTAATGAATATCAAGAACCACATCTCTGTAACATTATTTCCCCTTTAAAAAGGAATTTCTATTCATATTAAAATCTATTTACTATCTGATATTTCTTTTATGTTTGTTATTCATTTTTCTTCGGTGATTTTGTCATAAATCAAATAATTATTACTCAGATTTGATATCGGATTTGATATTTTATTTATATGGCTTTTTTGATATAATAGGGTCAAATTCATAATTTTATCATAAAATTTGTAATTTATTTAGATATTCATAAGAATATTAATTTCAGAGAACTTAATTGTTTTATTTAATTTTTTTAATTAGTGTGTGATATGAAATTATTTAAAATAATTTTGTAGTTTATTCCATCGTGTTTTCTTAAAAATATACCTGAAATGTTAGCACTATCATAAAAATTTATATATACCTATTACGATAACACAGCCACACAAAAAAAAATATTTTTTCTCGTCTGGAGGTCAGACTATGTTAACTATATGTTTTTGGAGTCACTAAATCCAAATCCGTAAGTTAAAAAACCCCAGCACGTCAGGGTTCTGACATAACCTCAAAAAACCTCATACAAAATTTTATTCAAGTCCGGGATTCAGACCATGTTTTTTATATGTTTATTTGGTCGCTAAATACAAATTCGAGGTCCAAAAATCAGTAGCATGTCAGGTTATTGACATAACCTTCAAAATATCCCGTTATCTAAGCTATTTAACGCTTCGACGTTTTGACTTTAGCCGTATATTAAACAAAAATCAGTTAAACCCATAAACCTTATTACTTCACAAAACAAAGTTATATAGGACCGTCGGCATTAGCGCTATCCGATGTACACCTCGAGGAGGTTGCACGATCGAATTTTGTATATCATATAGCCCTTATAAGGGCTTTCGGCAACAAAAATTTAAATTTGTAGAATTATTATATTTTTTTATTGGTGTTGTGTTGATAAGAATTTTGGATAACAATCTTTATTTATGTTTATTCTTAACATGCATTGTGAAATTAATAAAGTGTGTGGTTCTATAAGTTAAAGTAATATTTAGTAAAGACAACCCTTTAATAATAAAAATACTTCTTGTCCTAGTATGGACAGAACAACTGACAACGAGTGAGGATATGTCATTCAAACGCGGATAAAACAATATAAAGTAAAACCAGTTTGTCGTATCATTATAACGTCCAAAACCTTGTGCTACATTGTTACCAAGTAATATGGCTATGTTTTCTGTGGGTAATATAAAAAAATTTTATGAAAATGATGATGACTGGGATTCTTACATGGAGGGCTTTAACTTATATGCTGAATGTAACAATATAGTCAATAAAAAAATTGTACCCACTTTTCTTACATTAGTGGGTAAGAAAACTTATAAAAAACTTGAAGATTTGTGTAATCCTGAAAAACCTGAAACAAAGTCGTTTGATCAACTAAAAGAATGTTTACAGAAATTTGATAATCCTATACCATACTTTATTTCGGAGAGAATAATATTTAATAATAGGTTACAACAAAAAGGCGAAAGTTTTCAACAGTATATCAAAGAAATCAAAAAATTATCTTCTAATCATAAATTTGGTGCTTATTTAACAGAAATGTTAAGAGATCGTTTTGTAAGCGGAGTTTTTAGACGAAGCAAAGAAAAGGAACAAGTTTGAAATAGATGAGAATCTTACTCTGGAAAAGTGAATTGATATAGCATTTCAAGTAGAAACTACGTTAAAGGACATTGAAACATTAATTAATATCTTCATATTAATGAAGATATCAACTGCATAAGGAAGGGTCAAAAGAAGTTCAATACCAATGAAAGAAAAACTTTAAGAAAAGTACAACCATCAAATCGATACAGTCAACAGTTCAAATGCAAACAAAACAGTTAAGGCGCTAGTGTCAGGAAATACAACAGGAAACCAAACAAGTCATTTAATTATATATGCTGTGGAAGGAACAACCATAAATGCATGGATTGTAAGTACAAAAGTTATACTTGTAATATTTATTCTAAAATAGGTCATATAAGTTATAATTGGTAAAAGAGTAAACAGCTAAATATGTGCAAAATGAAAATAGTAAAGTAGTAGATGATGAATTATTAGAGTGTTTTAGTAAACTATTTCATTTGGAAAATAGTACTAAAAAGAGAGATATTTTTAGAGTTGAACCTGTTATAGTCCAAGTGGTAGTAAATGATAAAAAATTAAACATGGAATTGGACATAGGTGCAACCGTATCAATAATACCTGAATCAGATTACATTAAACAATTTATTAATATTAAACTTGAGAAAGATTGACTAAAATTACAATTATATTCTAACGAAACAGTTGAAAATTTGGTTCACATTAAACTGAGATTTAATTACACAGTTTAACAATTTATAGGTAAATGGTATATAGTTAAAAGTAAAAAACCAATGATACTAGGTAGAGATTAGAATAAACATATGTATTTGTTACCTAAATTATGTATTAAGAAATCTGGAAATAAAGAACAACGTGTATTGAAAATTAAAAAAAGTGAAAGTGAAAAAGATTTGGAATAAATTTCCTGAAGTATTTTGTAGCAAGTTAAGAATTTACATAGGACTAAAAGTAGAATTATCATTTGTAGAAGGTGCAAAACCAAAATTTTTATGGCCTAGACCTTACTATGAGTATTGAAAACCAAATTATAGAAAGAACTTGATAGATTAGAGAGAGGGGTAATTATTAATAAAGTAAAATATAGCGAGTGGGGCACCCCCATTATACCTATAGTGGAGACCTTAGATGAAATTCGTATATGTGGATATTACAAAGTTACAATTAATCAATTTTTAAGAATTGAAATAGCTCCAATACCAAAAATAGAAGAGTTTTTAATGGCTATAAAAACAGGGGGTAAATTCGCTATTATAGATTTAAGCAAGGCTTATTTTCAACTTGCATAAGAATCAAAATCAAAATAATTGACCGCTATTAGTACTCATAAAGGTGTATATTGTTACAACAGAGTACCACTTGGAATTAATATTTCTGTAGGAATTTTTCTAAATAGATTTAGTGAAAAGTTAAAACACATAAAAATATAAGAATATATTTTAATAAAAATTATTATAAAAATATAAAAATATTTGGAAACAGTATTGAAGAATATTTAAATACTTTAGTACAAGCACTTGAATTAATCAAATCACTAGGTTTAACTGCAAGAAAATAAAAATGTTTATTATTATAAGTAGAAGTTAACTTTTTAGAATATGT